AATATTCTGTCAGCATTGTGTTATTGAAGCTTGAAATGCTGATTCAGTTTTGCATAACAATTCGTAATATTGCGAAACGTATGGTATCAATCAATCGTGGTCCATCGGTCACGATTTCAGTCACTTCACTCTTTAAATATGCAACGAGGTATGGGTTCATAGTTTTCAGTAATAACTACTTTAAGTTTTTTTCTTCAGACTGGGCTGGTTATTAACCACCATGCAAGTAACACACTGGAAAGCTTCGGCAGATGGGCGGAACGGAATAATAATCCACTGGATAACGATGAAAATCATTATGACTACGCTACCCTCTTTACCAGGTGGGTCGATCCCGGAACACGAATCGTGATGATGTTCTTCAAAACACAATTATTACGCTATAAAAATGTTTTTAAATTTTGAATACGTGTCACATTATAGAGGGTTCCTCACCAAAATCACTTTCCGCTTAGAACAATAATTACGTCTACGACAATTTTTTTGTTTAAGTAATAAAAGAAGTAGACTTTATTGAACGAGGGTAATACTTGACTGTTGTTGAACTGATGAACTCATGGTCCTCAGAATCAATAGAAATGGAATTAAAATAAGAGTAGTAATAGTGACAATGACAAAAATTCAAATAGGATTTAAAGCTAAGAAGAAAATAAAATTAACAATAGAAAATTTTAATTAAAATTTTATTATTTAAGGATGATTTAAAATTAATTTAGATGAAGGATTGCGAAAGAATTTGATTATTTCAACTTGATTTAACAAAGTTGACGGTTAGAGTTTTCTCGTCGCTGATTTTTTTAAAATTCTTTCCCATGCGAATATGATTTTTTTTCTTTACAGATATAACATTTGCAAGGACAAGAACCAACCATGTGATACGTTAGGTACCATTATCAAACGTAGATATTTAATCTGGCATCTTATATTTGGCAGTATGTAATGAACGCATTATGTAAGACTTTTCTCTATTTCAAAATTGGGAGACGCGCGCGCAGTCGCCTATTAGTTAGCCCGCTGCACTTCAAGTAAAGAGATCTCCATTCGCAGTCTGACCTGGTTATCTCGTTAGGAAGTTTCACTCTCAAAACTCTCTCCACCCAGAGGCATGAATGGGCACTGACCATCTGTCAGGAGTACGTGAATAGTTAAGGTTACTTGTGATGGATTCAAATCCCATCCAGGAGGGGCGGGGAAAGTATTTCTCTTAAAGCCCTTATGCAAATGAAAACGGGATAAGCTCTTACAAAATAGACAACTTGCCTCCAATTCGGACTCACATACATGAAATAATTAAAAATGTTTGGTGCTCTTTGCTGACTTCTGTAATATTTCTGGCTCTCGGGCAGGTCTTACAAGGACACGTGGAATGTGCAACTTTCCGAACTCGGCATGTGTTGGTCAAGATAATGGTTTGATGCTTGGAATGACACTAGCTCATGAGACAGGACACAGGTGGGTTGGGAACCTGATTTAAATTCCTATTTGAAAGTTGCCGAGAATTCAAATCCCTCTCCATACGAATAACTGTCTTTTCTAATACTCAGATTACTTGGACGATTTTAATGAGTTGGGGTTTACTTCCTTACACAAGAGATTCCGCGATCTTAATTAAAAAGCTAAGAATATCGTATAGAAAGTAAACGGAGATTGCACTGGTTTTCATTTACTTACGCTCATCATGACTTAGGCGTTCGCACTGGGCTCGACCTAATAGATCTACTTTGAGTCCGCATCGGCTGCTTGTGATACTGTCCGTTGTCCTGATCGGCTCTGGTGACAAGTTTGAATTTGATTTTGCGGCAATCGATCGAAAAGCGCTCCTCCGTGTATTAATCGATAAAATTTCTTAACCTAGAAACATCACGTTTTAAAGTATATTTTTTATTTAAGGATTTGCATGGTTGAATGTACATGTTTTTAGTCCTGGAGCTTGTGCCTTCAAAGGGCAATCCAGCTGATAAATGATGTAAATTTAGTATATAATAAAACAATGGATAGCGTTGAAGTGCGCTCTGATTGCTGCTCAAACTCCAAATATCCATTGCTATTCACCTCCGTTCAACTAGCAAGTTTCGCGCCCGAAAATATTTTAATCGTCTTTTTGTGCTATATGGCGTTGGCAAGCGGTGGATATTTACAATATCTACAACTAGCCACTTGATTGGCAAATGTTTGTTAAATATTCAAAATATCGATTATGATCATAAGAAAGGTTTGAATTTTTTAAATTGTTTAATCTGGCTCGTCTGTTTGCATGCAATAAAGAACATTATTTACATCGTTAACGTAGCAGGGTAACGTAGCCCGAACAATAAAAAAACTTAGAATTTTCTAACATTTTAACTGCATCAAGTTATTCTTAAGGACATGTGTAATTATTTTTTTTTTCAGTCTTGGAATGAACCACGACAGAGGAGCGTGCCCTGATGGTGTAAACATCATGGCGTCTTTACCGGCTGGGAAAAAGTCTGCTTTCTCTTGGTCACCCTGCAGTAAAAACTATCTTCAGCAGTTTTTAAAGTAAGTTGCTTTCTTTTAAGTGAAAAAAGTGTGGAAACTTGCTAAAACAGAATGTATGTCGGCTACTGTGTTTAGTTTTGGATAGTTCTATCCAGACGCAAGATATGCGGTGGGAGTGTGGTGTTGCTCACGTTGAGATATAGACAGAACTGGCCTCTATTATGTTTTCAAGGATCCAGGTACTACAACTAATTTACTGATATTACGTTTCCAAAATCAATTTGGTTGTAATCTTGTTGGGATCTCAGCAGTGACCGAAGAACTTTTCATTAACTTTAACCTCCGAGAGGCCATCGTGCAAAGGTTTCAGTTTAGGAAGATTTAACCTTCTTATCTTTTTCCAGTTCAGATGATTCGCGCTGCTTGGATGATAATCCAACCAAAAAGAATGTGATAGAGACCAGGACGCTGGATAAACCTGGCAGACTGTACGATGCTGATGAACAATGCCAGCTGGCTTACGGCCAAGCTGCTAAGTTCTGTGGTGGAGGGAAGTTTCTGGACGTGAGTACTGAGAGTGATAAATGTGATTGTCCATCAAAACTCAAAATTCTAATATACATTTTCGTTGCGACTATTTTTAATTCGTTATCGAACGTTCTCCGGGATTGGAATGGTTTTTCTTTACTCTCCAAGCTCTCAGCCAGTCAGCTGTGAAACTTGCATGTACATGACACTAAAGTTGTACTTAGTTACACGTGATGTCCCGCACATGATGTAGTTTTACGAATATTAACTTTGGAATGTCTTTGTACCCCGCGTTTCGTTTCAACGTGCGCTTCATGCTCCAGTTACTGACATCAAAATATTTATTTTTAGACAGAGTAAAAAATCATTTCTTCTGTTGACTCAGCCACTTGCTACATTTTTACTTAAAGTCCTTTATATTGCGTTTTTTCATTGAAAATAGTAGAATAAACAGTTTTTTCATCATCTATGTGCCCTGCATGACCCTACATTACTGACACAAGTCCAATACTAGCATATACTTAAGGAATTTACCTAAAGTAAGTAACCTTGTTACAACGTTACCTTTCTTCACAAATTTTGCTATCGGACAAATATAACAGTAACTCCCTTATAAAAAGTAAGAAGTTACCACCCATGCTTATTTTTGCATTAATGCATGGCTTGTAGCAAATCTGCGTGAAGCTTTGGTGTGAGGTACCTGGCGGAAGCGGAAACTGCAAGACGGCGGAGATGCCGGCAGCTGATGGAACACCGTGCGGAGATAGTAAGGTGATAAGATCAGTTTGTGAATAGAGAGAGGTTTGAATGGGGCGATAATGGGTGGCTACCTGAAACAACTTTACAAGAACCTGTAGCTGGTTGGTCAATCTCTTTCCACGAGGTTTTCTCTCAAAGAAGGTTGGGTTCAAATTTGCTCCTTCACCAATCCGAATCCAACTCTTAGTTGGCCTAAATTTTTTCCACACTGGATTTTTTGATAAAAGAGTTAAGAATTATTAAAGATTTTGAGGAAATTTGCGTTGAGCAAACTAGCTCTATTTTCAGCAAACGTTCCAGTAATAAAAAAAATGTCGTCGTCTATTGATGCTTCATTTTCCCCGCTTGGTTTCTCCAGTGGTGTAGGCGTGGTCAGTGTATTCAGCTTGGTACTGAGGGCGCCGACACTGTGGATGGTGGTTGGTCAGAGTGGTCCGCTGAGTATTCTGACTGCAGTAGATCGTGTGGGGGAGGGGTGCAGTTCAGAGAACGGAGATGTATAGCACCACGGTAAAAAAAATAACTGTTTCGGTGTCATATTTCCCTTTTCTATTTTGTTTCTGTTGTCATCATTGGCAAGTTCTTCTGTACTGTTTTTATTTTAGTTTTCTTTCAATAGAAATTTGCAACATACTTGCTTTTTATTTTCCAAAGATGAATTATCTAGTTAATAACTTCTCTCCTCTACCTTCAGCCCCAAAAATGGAGGGAAACGATGCGAAGGAGAAGAAAGAAAATACAGGCTCTGTAATACTGCGGTGAGTTTTAATCTCCGTTGTGCCTCAGTTTATAACATTTACCAAATAATCGTAGCCAGAGAACTGAAAAATAACGGTGGAGACGTTTCTCGTGTCTGTACCCTTTAACTCCATTTTCTGTCTAAATAGCTCCTGAACCCCGCAGATTATGTTTCTCAGATTTACAAATAGAACAAATAACTGCAAGCCTCCTTTTTTCTAAATGAAAGTAAGGTTGACAATCTCTTATCCTAATTTCTAGGGCTGTTCATCTGATACACTGGAATACAGAAACCATCAGTGTCAATTAAAGAATTCTCAGCTGTTCAACGATCAGTATTACGAGTGGGAATGGAAACCATCAACTCTAAGTAAGAGACTACATGCAAACTCAAAAAAAAAAATCCTGCCTGGGTTTTAACTGTTACTACCTAGAGAATTCTGCCTGAAGTTTGGGAAAAATTTAGACATAAATGAAAAGGAATTGTGAAAGTATTTTCGGGAGAATATAACAGGTATAAAATAGTCATAAGTCTGACAACAGAATCAGATTTAAAGATTATTCGAGTAATTTGGTTTTAATAACCAAGTTGATAATGTTAATCGGCCACCGTAAAGAGTTTCTTAATCTCAGTATGTTCCATCTAATTTAAGAAAAAAAAAAGTGGCTGCCTTCTTCAAACTTTGAACATCCATTTGTTTAGATTGTTTAGTTTAAGATTAACATAAGTTTAGAGTTAAAAAAAATTCACCCTTTACACTCTGACATCAGTATCTGTATTCTCTATACTTCTCTCCAAACTAATCCTTTGGTATTGACAAGGAGAATTCATGTAACAATCAAAGCTTCTTAGGTTGGCGATCATTTCCTGTACTCTCATGATCTTATTGAATGATTCAGGAGTATTACTGTGAGGAGAAATAAGGTTCTGGTCACTCTTAGGGGCCAAAGGGTTAACAGAAATATTTTATCTGCAGAGAGCAAGTGTGTTCTAGGATGCTTTATCAAAGGAACTGGGTTAGGTTTTGCTTTTGGAAATGTTGCTGATGGTACAGACTGTGAAAAGAATTCCCTTGATAAATGTATTGAGGGACAGTGTACGGTAAGACGATAAAAAGTTAATTTTTCGATAACTGTCAGGGGCTATCTCGTTTTTTTTTGTCTCAATTTTTCAAAACAACACATGATGTTCAAAACCATCAGTCGGCAGACTTGTACGAACCCTCTTGAACCAAATAGGGCGTAAGACCTACTCATAGATAGAAAATTTCCATCCTTCCTCTTGTCCAGTCGGTTTTAAATGGTGCAACGATATCAAGTATGGCAGATTATGTAACCAAGGCAACATTAATATGAGGGAAAGGTAAAGTAAAGTAAAGTAAAGTTACCGAAATGGTTTACGCACTAGAAATATTACTCTTCTGATACAAAATGCCTCAAACGTTAAGTCCAAGACTAGCTTCTCTAGATTTACCCCTTCGTATCAAGTTGATCGATCTCCCTTGATAGACCATTGATAGTCATTAACGGGCATTCCATCGGCATTTTGTCAAGTTGTTGATGACCTACAGGTACAGTACGGCTGCAGTTCTAACCTACAAAACACCATTTATACGATTGGGCAAAGAGTAGTTCTGCGATATGGTATTGTAGAGATACTGCCCATAATCCCACCTCACTTCAACGAAGACAGAGCCCGATGCCGCTGTTATCTCATAACTGATTGAGGCTTTGCTGTAGAGTGATAAGAGCAGAGTTTTTGTCGCTGTCAAGGCCTAGACTAATCATGTCCAAAACTGGAATCCACCAATATGTTGTGTTCACATCTCAGAAGCCTCGATGAGTGTTTGTAAATTGCGCTTCAATTTCTTATATATTTTAATCCTCATTTTAAAACCTGTTGTTGGTGTGATAACGATTAATCCATGCATCATTGTCTCTACAACAGAAAGTGGGCTGTGATGGAATCATTGGTTCCACAGCAGTTGTCGATAGATGCGGTGTATGTAACGGAGACGGAAGTTCATGCGCACCCGGTTCCAGGGATAGTGTGGCAAGAAACACCACTAGCACAAAGAAGGCGGTCACTCCAGGAGCTGTCAATCTTATAACAAGCGCTTTGGATTGGTTGAAGCGAATGGGTTATGATGTAGATAGGCGTGGACAAATCGCTTCTCCCGAAAGCGCCACAAAAGACTCGCAGAAAGATAACTTTTACTGGGCCGTTGTTAAGTCTGGCTGTAGTGTTTCGTGTGGTGGAGGTAAAGAAGCGATCATCTTTTAAAAACACTACACTTCTCCGTTACCGCACTTACTTGATTTATTGCCTCGGCATCTATCAAATTTCTAGCGTCTCCGACGCAGCATTATTCAGAGGGGCTACGTTCATTTCAAAATCATAATTCTTTAATCACTGACCAAAAGTTAAGTTTGTAAAACAGAACATGTTTTCTTTACTTCCTATATTTCTCTTTCTTACTGGGACAGAATCGTAATTGTCTGGTTACTTTGTAACATATTCAACAACGATGGTGTAGATTACCGAGGCTATACATTTGTATCTTCAGAAACAACTACATACAACCCTATTTTTCTGTTCCAATCGCTTAAAGATAATTGAGGTAAAATACCATGGCTAGCTACCGCTTTTTTTTAATCCACTCCTCACCAATAGGCTCGGAAGTGTCCTATGCTGAGTGTCGAAGGTCAGATGATGGTTCTCCAGTTAACGTAGAAAAGTGTGACTCTGGCTTGAGACCACCAAGAGAAACAGTCCACTGCAACTATCAACCGTGCCCACCTGTGTAAGTTATCATGAGTTTTTTCTTTTTCGGAAAAAAATGAATAATTAAAACTTACCTTGCTCAATTTTATTTTTGGAAGTTCTAAGAAATTCCTCGGTCAGTTTACCTATGATGCTTGTGGAATTTTTCCCTCTTGAAACATTCTCAAACACTTTAAGACTGTAAAATTAAATCGAATGATCAACTTGTTTGTTTTCTACCGCTCCCGTAGAAATACCTCAATGTACACCACTTATTTTATTACCTATTTGTTTTTCAGTTCTTTAACTTCCCTAACTTCTGGTATTTAGTTTCTTTCGCTTCTTCATCCGTTAAATAGTTAAGTAGATGTTAGCCAGTTAATTGACCCACCTCAACTAGCAAATCTGCCAACTCCAGGTCAACTTATTCTTTAATTTTGAAATGAAATTAATAAAGCATGAATTTTGAACACCAATGATCTATAAATTTTACTCTTGCTCCCTGATAAAGGCTTTTTAGCTCCAAAAGTAATGAGTTCAAAATAATTGATGTTTGTCCTTTCAGAGGGTAATACAATTTTATCTACTTTTCATCGTAGCTGGAAACCAGAAGGTTGGGAAGATTGTTCTCAGACCTGTAACGGAGGAAACAGAACCCGTGAAATAAAGTGCATGCAGGTAGCAGCTGATGGTATTGAATATGACGTTGATTCCAGGCTCTGCTCGGATCCTAAACCATCCATGGTAGAAGCGTGCAATAATGTCCCGTGTCCACCCGAGTGGGTGGCTCAGCCATTTGGACAGGTATTCATATGATTCTTCATAGCGTAGTGGTAATTATGTAAAGTTAAGAAGCAGAGGGCTCTTGAGAATGTGTGATGTAATGTCAACATGATGAAGAATTGAAAACCACTGCGCCACATAACGTAACCAAGGGTGGACAGCAAAGTTCGTGTCTCATCATTAGGCAGGTGCGGTTTCTAAACTGTGGAAAATATATATTCGAGCTGACGTTCTCTTTCTTTGTTAATTCAATAGTGTTCCACAAGATGTGGGCGAGGTGTTCAGAAGCGAACAGTGAAATGCATGAGGGCTGACCACAGAGGTAACCTGATGGACATGGAGGAAGCACAATGTGATGCGACTCTAAAGCCACCGATACATGAATACTGCAATGTGCATAATCCTTGTCCTGGAGATGGTACGTTTATAGCAAGTATCCCATTATTCACAGAAGCCAACCCTCGTACTTTATTATTTGAGTTGAGGGAAGTACGCGTTTAAAATCCGATACATGAAAACTTCCACGTTTGAACGTTTGAGCTTGCCAACTTCAAGTTAAATCACATGTAAACGGTTCACTAGGGTAAGTCTCGAGGTACAACCTGACTTGACCTCAAATGTTTTTCTAGCCCTTGACCTTAAATAGTTCCTCTTTCCTGACAAATCTGAATTAAAAATTTCGGTTGTATTTCAGACAATTGTGGTGGAAACTTTACAACAGATGTTGGCACTTTCTCCTCTCCCAGCTACCCGGCAGACTACCCGGACAACAAAGAATGTGTTACTACTATCACAGTCAACCCCAGCAAGGTCATCAAGCTTAACTTTCACAGGTATAACTGGATTCAATCCCTAATAAGCCGCATGTAGTACACCTGGCCACTTTTTCTTAGAAAATGCAACTAAGTAGCCTTCCCCAAGAACTGAAATACCAGTTTCTGAAAAGAGAGACTTGTCGAGAGAAACTTTGTCAGGGATGAACTCTGCTTGTGTTGATGACTAGATACAGACACTTGATGAGGAAATCGTGTGAAGGTTAAGGAAACTTCTTCTCCAGTGACTCTATGAGGAGAACCATCTTTGACAAGCTTTCCAGTCTCTGATTTTCAAAGTATGAAAGTTTTCTCTGCCACCAACAGGTGCGTTTTAGAAGTGGATTTTGTTGATGTAAATGCGTCTGTAGGCACATCGATGACCATTTTGAAATAAATGATTAGCTATTCTTAAAAAATTGCTATGCTATTTATTAACAATTTCTAAGGGTTTAAGTTATTCGCAAGTATATGTGAATTGTTTTAATTGTTAGCAGGCAGAAGGAAACGAATTGACAAATCAACCTATATGCATTTATACGATGTTCCAATGTAATTCTATGGCTCAATGAGGTAACTACCAGACTTTTACTTTCAGCATGCAAGTAGTCTCCCCAGAAGACACATCGCAATCGGAGAAGTGTAAAGGGGACTTTGTAAAGGTTATGGATGGCGACTGTTCGGCATTCAAAGCTGAAACGAGATACTGTGGAAAACAGGAACCTGCTCCATTCTTTTCCACCGGAAACAAACTCTGTGTTAAGTTCTTTTCTGACGAGTCTCAGACAGCTCAGGGATTCAGTGCAAGTTATGAGGCTGTAGATCGACCAACTAACCCTGGAGGTGAGAGGGGGCACTTGAAATGTAACACATACTCGTACCCAGGGGTTTAAAGGGTTGATAACGGTGGATAACGATCTCTAACGGATACATCGCTTTTCGGGGGATAAATGTTAAGATGGACTTTTCTGCGCTATCGATAAAAAAGATATTTAACCGGTGGATAGCGTTATTCAGCATTTGAACAACTGAGGCCAGAAGTATATTCGTGTTTAACTATGGTGTAATATTACATAACTTAATTCACTCTTAAAAGAAAGCGAAAGACAGTTTAAGAAATTGTTCATTATTACCAGTTACGGGGCATTATATACTATTGTCAATAATTGCATGCTTGAAAAACCAGTTTACAAATCAGAACTGATAGCCTACTAACACATCGATTTATTAGTGATACGAGAAGCAACATCTAATTTTGTTTTACCTTGGCTGAAATTATTATTTAATAATCGAAACCAACCTCATGTTTTGAATGGACGATGCAAAAGCAGCTTGACATTGATTATCTCCTGGTTATGAGGGCTTTATGTCATGAAAATCATCACCAACGTTTCTTTACAGATCAGTGTGGTGCTACTCTGACGTCACCAGTTGGTTTGATTACGTCACCTAACTATCCAGAGCCTTATCCAAGTAATGAGGAATGTAATACCACTATCAAAGTCATCAAGGGACCAATCAAAGTTGCTTTTCAAGCATTTGACGTAGGAAATGCAAAGTAAGCAAATATAATAAAGTCTGTTTTTTTAGAAATATTGTAAAACCTTATCTCATCGGGCAAAGAGATTTATTTGCCTATTTCTTTATGTCAAGCAAATCAACATCTGGATCATAATAGTTGGATTGCCCTGGCGAGGGATGTCTTGAAAAGGGCTCATGTTAATGACTTTGACTGACTTTCCGAGCAATAGAGAGGAAGACCTCACCGGAGTAGAGATTTACTCTCTTTGTCAATTGACCTCCATAAGTCGTGAAAGCCGATCGGTCAGTTTTGCCTTGACTTCAACGCTTAATTAATCTATCATATCAGTGGTTGAATCTTGCGAGTGATGGTAGTCTTGAGAAGGCTTATTTGTATGTAACTTACTGACTTTCCGCGTGGCTCGTGAAACCTGGTTGGTCAGTTTTTCCTTGATGCTATCGGCTGACAGACTTAAGTGGTGTTCGTCCGTGATGATAGGACACCTTCGATCAGCCGCCCAGATGAAGTTAAGTCGTTCTTGTAATTTCGTTGCCTTTTTTCACGTCATAGGGAAGTCATTTGCATGGTGCTAAAATTTTAATTCCTCATGTATTAAAATTTAAGACACAAATAAGCAAGCTCTTATATCCGCTGTTTCCCCAATTGTCATCATTGTTATTCAGTATTACAGCTTTTTACTATGCATCTCCACAGTTGCGAAGATGATTATGTGGTGGTGGACGAACCCATTCGAGGAAAGACAAGAAAGCTTTGCGGAAATCAGATCCCACAATCATTCAACATTTCGTCAAACGAGCTCAAGATTGCTTTCAAGTCAGCGGAGCGCCTTGGAAGACCCAAACCAGGATTTGTAGCGACGTACACATCAGGAACTACACCAGGTGATCTGCGAATATTGAAAACTAGATTTGATGTAAAATTTTCATCAAGTTCCTTCAAAAGCTTTTTAATCATCAAAACGAAGCTCTTGAAACAGCCACTGAAGGCTCATTTCTTTTCAAACTGACATGGCTTCGCTTTGATTACAACAACCCGCTTACGCTTCAATGAAATTAGGGCCGGAAAGTAAGACCAGTAGATATCAAACCGTATACTTCCTTAATTTAACAATTTCAAAAAGTTTCATTTGATAACATTTCTTTAAGCCGAGAACTCAAAATTTTTGAGACATTTCTAAAAGCAGGAGGCATATCATATACTTTGTTAAGTCCGTAAATATGAACAATTTTAGACTCTCGCTTCTCCCGTTATGAGACCAAAACGAAATAATTAAAACAGCTAGTCACAGCAAAGTTCTCCCCTAAACGAGTTGAAAATTCAAATTAAAAACAGGCAGACCGCTTTAGATGAGTGGAAAATTCCAGTAACTAGATAAAGATTGGTTTCAATCGGCATCTGATTGTTTTAGAGGGTGTTAGGAGTTTTGTTAGAATACTAACAGAGGGGGGTGAGGCAAAACCAATGCAGTTGCGGAGTACTGTCGACACTCAACTGAAAATTGCCCTGGTATAAGTCACACAGAGTAAAATTTCCTACTATAAGTTTTCATTTCGATAAGCATGTTGCCTAATGATCTGTTCACACCTTTTTTATATAATGTGGTCCTTAGAGGATAAATTTTCGTAAGCAATAAAAAAATATTATTTGTCGTCTGCTAACGGTTGTCACGCCTCCATTTTCAGATGAATTACGAAAGTCAGCTGGAAATGCAGGAATAAAAACTTTTACTTCTAAACTAGATCAAGGACTCTTGGCGGATGCAGTAACTAGAGGTGAAGTATTCACCCAACACGTTCTGATGTTTTTCCTTTTAATTCTTTTTCCCAGAACACTATATATATTATTAAGTACAGTTAGGGATTATCTCGCTCGCATTTCATTCTAAAGAAGCTCATAATTCTTTTTTCTCTTAACATGAATATTTTCTGGGTCTCAGTGGGTGAATGATTCTCTTCGCTGTTAAACTAGACAACAAAAAACGGCTCCATCATTTTCTGAGTTTACCTGAATTCCGTGTGAACACGGCGTGGTGTCAGGCGTTTGGCAAAGGACTCATCAGTTCGAAAACCTATGACTAAACCAAGCTTCGTAATTCTCGCATCTTAACTTGAGTATCTCAAATCATCAAAATCAGATGGTCCCGACCTACCAATGTCAATTTTAGTAGTTCTCTTATGCCGAAATGGTTTCCCACTGGACACGTCAGAGTATTATTAAGATCTATTAACATTTGATATTTATCGCAGAACATATTCCGAAACCTTCTAGTACTGGGCTTCCGGCAGGGATGGGAGTGGACTTCTTACCTGTTTCAAGACAAGACAGCAAAGAAGGTATCTCGGGTGTTTTTGTACGTTGCTGATAGTCTGAAATCATGGTTCCCTAAGACAATGATAATTGCTTCGTTTATCAATGATTAAATCAGTTGTATTCAACTACAGCAACGACGTGGTAACTTAATGTGATTTAATTGTTCTCTTTTTTGTTGATTTCTTAGTCCGTTTGTTTGAATCTATTTTTGTGACATCCTGCACTTGTTCCTAGCGCTTGAAAGGCGCGTGCGAGGGGAGCCCCATACCTATCCCCCGTCCCATAGTTTGCAGGCCTACTGCATCTCTCCATCTGCATTTAGAAAATTGGTCTCAATTTTATTTTTGCCGTAGTCTCAAAGGAAGAAGGAGAAGACATTGACGCTGGTATCGGAGAGACAGGTGAGTGGTATTTGCGGAATGAAAAAATACATTGTATTGATTTCACTTCTTCTGCAATGTTCCTTTTTATCCAGTGCAAGATAATATAAATTGATATTCACTTGTCCAGGGTCTTAGCCTTGACTAATCCCCCTCAGAAACTCTGATTGATTTTGAAATATTTTTGACATATCTTGAAACAATTTGTTTAGAGAGGAAAGAATGGAGATTAATGCAAGCATTTCTCAGCTCAGGTTTTCTACCTGGTAGATATTAAGCTTTGAGGAGTGATTTGTTGGTGAATTTGAGGTAAATTTCGCTCTTTTTCTTTTAGACAAAGAGAATATCGATGACGATATAATAACTAAGCCCACTAGTGGTCTTCAGAGTGGTAAGTGTCAAGTTCTGCAGTTTTAAGTCCAAATGACTGTGTAGAACGATAACTAGTACACCTGATTACGGTGGTAATTGCTTTAAAGATAATTTTTCAGCGTGTATATGCTAATATGATTAACTGAAATTTTTAAAACCGAAGCACTTAGTCAACTCAACGGTGACTTGAGTGGCAGTGGTAGTGCAGATGACCAAAAAAGCAACCAAACAGAAGCCAGTAACTCAACACTCGGCGGAGAGGATGACGTACCACAGGATAGTGGGAAACAGAACCAGACAGAAGGTAACATGGCTTTCTATTGTCACTCTAACCTTCAAGATGAAGTAAACAATGTTGCAGGGTATAAATAAGTGAACAGAATAAGAGTTTATGTGTGTGACCTAGCTCACCAAAGAATCAGAAGTAGTTCAGTGATGTGTCGGAGCGTGAATTCGGAACATAGTAGGGTTTGACATCCCACGAAAGAATTAGATTCTGCTTTGTTCCACACGCATGAAGAACGGATAATTTTGTTCATGTTTGAAAAACTTTGCTCTCTGAAACTAACGTTTAGCTCTCACATGCTAATAGATAGTCAGATAATAATATTTAGTGAATCTCTTTTGCCACTTAGGTAACCATAGTGATGATGTCACAAAGGAAACAATACCAGAGACCCAAGGTAGATTTGGAGTAAGGGAAAAGGAGAGGCTTTGCAATTTGTGAAAGGGAGCCATCCCCGATCTCTATATGTATGAAAGCGGGTGTATACTTTCTAGCCAAAACATAGAAGCAAAGTAAAAACATGAGCAGAAGAGGCAACATGTTGACACTGGTGCCTGTTTGAAATTCAGTTCAGCCCTTCCAAAACGACATGATCTCGGGAAAATTCTTATGGATCTTATTTTTTTCTTGTTTCAGAAAACGCTGTTAATGGAACTACCTCGAATAGCACTAATGATTCCCAGATGAACGGTAACATACCACGCAATTTCTCTTCTAGTCACAGTTTTACATACATGTGTTGAGATTTCCAAAATACTTTTACATGAAAAATATTTTATATGATGGTAAATCATAAGTTTTCATCAGTAAAGACCCCGACAGATACATTTTCTCCACCATACGGTGTTACTGGCTTTTAAAGTATTATTTCCACCCACAACCTATCTTTTATCTTTCAACTCACAATTTTCTCTCATCCATCTCCCATTTTATGTTCATTTGCTTCTACGTTTTGTTCATTGTCACTCACAGAAACATCCAGTAACGAGACTCTCGCGGGAGCTCTTGCGGAAGCTATCAAATCACATGGTATGCACTTTCACTATTGACACTATCGCTTCTAGCCATTTGGTTTCAAGATTAAAGGATCAAATTATCCAAATATTTTAAATGCACTGAGCTCTGCCGGATTTGCTCGCTTTCGACAAATAATTTTCATCGAACCAAAAGGCTCCTTCATACATAATATGAGTTTATATCCACACACGTTAAGAGTGTATTCATATTGCAATGTTACTTGGCCTTTTCAAGTCAGTCGTTAGTTCCATTTTATGACGACAAACAATGTGGCAATCATAAAAAAGAAACAAAGAAGGGGGGGGGTGTCCGAAGGATCTATAGCGCTTTTTTTTTCTTTTGGGTAAATCGCTATCCAGTGGATAGCGCAGTACATTTTGTTGGCACTTAACCGCTAGATAGTGATTTATCGGTTGGATAGCGTTATCCACCCTGAACAACAGAGCCCTGGTCATCAAGTAAGAGTAATTTGAGACAGTGCCTTCCTAAATTCTAAAACTTTAAAAGTAGAAAGAACGCAACAGGACGGCCCCCTAACAGTCGCGGTGTTGTTTTCTCTCAACTTGACAATGCGGAGAAGTTTGGTAATGAACATTCCAAGAGGTTATTACGAGAGCGGTTGATAAAGAGATATGTCGGAAGAATCCATCCGTTTTCACTTAAAACGGTTTCGGTTGTCGCGATGAACAATTCGGAGACAAGAAGACCTAAGCCTTGATACTTGTTATCGAAAGGAGCTCAACGAACGAGTTTATGGCGAGCAAGCCTGCCCTAAATTGTACAACTTGAGGTCCTCCTGAGATGAGATTTAGATGTCAACCATGAAAATTTCAGGCGGGGGACCTTTTACTCTCACTTACTCTCAGTATATTCCTGTAACACATTTCCACCAGATCATAATTAGTTGTCATAATTTTCGCTTTTTAAATTTGTTTACTGAGTTGTTTTCTTTTCACAGAAAATGCTGAAAATAAATCAACGATCGATGATTTACAAACTTCAAAGAATTCATCGGGTGAGTCAGTGTTTGGTTAATTAGACATCTTTCTTTTACCCCGAGTATCTCTCGAGCCAGAGCTTTAGGAGAATCAAATTGATTCTGATATCAAAGTCATTCACCCTCCTTGATCGATGCTGAATAAAAGCTGTGTTACGAAGACTCCAAGCCAACCAGCTTTGCGTAAAGCGTTCGTACTAACGTTCCAATAGTACGAACATTGCACCTTTCGAGTCATGGGATATTATCTCTCGCACGATCACATTATGATTATGGACTAGACACATAGTATGAATGTGCAAAGTAATCCTCTCGAAGCATCACCTTGAAATTCCCAAATCTTATAAACTTTCCAAGATTTAAATGGAATTCATTCAATCTTGTACAATTAAGTTAATCATTTTTGTTGACAGCATCAAATGACCTATCGTCTGTTCAAGACATCCCGGGAAAAGGGCTGGCCGGACTCATAAAACCCATCCTCAACCAAGGTGAAATATTTCTCCTTTGCCTTTAACTTTGCAAAATTTCGCACGAATTAAGGAAAAGTGTCTTACTTGCAGAGCAAGTCGCCATGTTCGATTACTGAAAAAGATAAGTTTATGTTATCTTATCTTTGTTAGGAAGTAAATGTAACTTTTCTTCATAAAAATTCCAGGGTCGTGTCCCCCAATCAAGTCTCTAAGCTGTCTGAACCTACTCTATTCATTTCCGTGTTCCAATGATGATGATTGTATCGAGAATGGTATGACATGCTGCAACACCAAATGTGTATATGGTAAAAAGATGTGTATTCCACGAGGTGAGTCGTCCAAACTTATTCATTCATTACTCAAATTCATGATGACGCGCCCTTGCCAGAAATTTATATTCAAGAGATCATATGGATCAATTAGATTAGGTAGATTATTTTTTATCGAAATCCCGCGCATCAATTTAACATCTTTACCTGACTAAATCAGAAGGGAAAGACATAGCTTCCATTTGCTTTTTTTTGATACATGACAACTACACTTCATAAAGCGATATTTCGAAGGAGCTACCTAAATTTGGATATCATTTTGATCCTGTCTCTCTCCGTGTTAAGGTTGAAACTTTCTTCTGTTTTCTTAGTTTCAGCAGTTTGTCCGCTTAGAACTCCATATTACACTGGATTCCAAACATGCAAAGACTCAGGAGATTGTGGAACAGGAGGAGTGTGTTGCATGGATATGGCAGGAAGGCACTATTGCCATCAGCTCAGCTCGGTTGAATAAAAACCCTGTGAACGACAAAACGAACACATGAGCTCAGCATATCAACATCATAAGAGCAAGACCTTTTTCCTTTCATCACTCACGTTCTTTGGACACATCAATTCGGAAAGATTTTATGCGTTACCTCAAGAAAGAACACCTTTCGTCTTTCGTCGACGGCTTCAATGCGACAGCTCAATTTATGATTTCAAATGCTCGGACACAAGCTGAATCGTAACTCTGCTCAATATGTATATAAAAACCCATATTGCCTGTAGAAAAATGATGCTTTTTTGTATAATAATTATTTTCTGAACTCCATTAAGATAGCCAGGCGTGTCAAAAAACTAATACATACACTTCACTTCCAGGTTTAAAAATTCTCCCTGTCTGCCATGAATTTCTTACATTGAAGCAGATCTGATAATCTGGATTGTAATCTAGCGGTGTTTATGAGGCTTTATTCTCATCATCTGTATTCTTGACATAGTATTGAAATTTTAGAGAGATATTACTTATTGGTCATTCCATGGGCTGAAAGGGTTAATAACGGAGATTTGCATCTGTTTGTCTAGTGAAACGAAGTCGTGCTCTAGCCGGTGCACAAGTTGGAATTAAACAACTTGTCAGTATATATACATCTGATATCGCCGCGGGATTTACCTTCAGTATAGGTTTAAATTCATTGCGGCAATTGTTAACGAGCTGCGCATTTACTGGATCACTAAAGAAATTATACATATATTTCAAATACATAAGTATATTTTATATCATGGTACAAAAATTTTTTAATGTGAATATAGTGTCACTAAAATAACATGTGATAGACTGATGCAGCTCCTAAGACGATGAAACGATGTTCAATTCAAGGTTTTGACGACTACAAAATCGTTTCCTACCGCTTTTTCGAAAGAATCTTCATTTACGAACTAATTTCGTGATATATTTTGCACATATATTTATTCACTTATGGAACCATGATCGTATCCACGAACCATAATCATTTCTTTGGCTTTTACTTACTTAAAGATGTAACAACGAGATTTGAAGATTATGACAGTCAAATTGAAGATGAATGATTTCTACTAATTTTCCAGAACTTTACAAAAAAAATTGCATTTCCTTCTCGAACTCATTAATTCTCTGTTTTAGATAACGGTCTCTAAACCTTAAAAAGTTTCGTTCAGTTCTGAACCATAATAAAATCTGAAAAGCATACTGTTTCAAGGACGTACGATATTTTGCAGATACGTTTTTGTATCTGAAAATTACGCTGCGCACGCTTTTCAGTCCAGGAAGGAGAAAAGTACAAAAGCTTCTTTATTGCTTAAAATATCCGGCAATGATTTAACCCCTAAAACTAGCTGACCAACAAACATTTAACACCCATTCGGCGTAACAAATATCTATCATGTCGGCCAGTAACATGAGGTATGATCACAGCGGGTTCAATCTATCGACGATAACTGATTAGTTTCATTAATTTTCAGCTAATTTAATTTCCACCTGTATTTGTAAGTGTACTCGCGTAAATTAAAGGTTTGGTCCCTTGCAATAATTCGCATCACTTGTGAAGTATGAATGATCAACAAAAATGATAATAAAAAAGTCACTTTTTTTAAAGAATTATATTCGTTTATCAAGTCTAAGTTGATTGATGGACACCCGCGGCCGCCTTGTAAATGTCTATGAACAATTTATCAATTTAGTTGCAATGAAACCTCAGCCGAAAGGTAATGCGTGCGTCGTTAGACCAGCAATCATTGTTATTTGGTTCTCCTCAATTCCAAACTCAAAATAGCGAAGTAATTACCAAGAGAGCAAACAAGCACTATTTACAGTGAAAAGTAATATACCTTACCTCGTGAAAGCTGACAGAATTTTCGCCACACTCAGTTATAAATATACGAAACGCATGCTAATGAAATTAATATTTAACTAGTTATACATGTAATAGAAAGTGGCAAGCATCCGAAAAACGGCTGCAAGGGAGACAAGAGCCGACCGTTACCTAAAAGGTTTGCAGATCATTAAAAGAAGAAAAAATGACAATTTCCTCAAGATTGTTAACTTTCTTAGCTTTCTCTGAAAGTACGAAATGGTTATTTTTCATTGTTGAAATAGCGTAGGGTTGTGCTAACAATGTGAGTTCTGAGCTTAAGCACGACGCGCGTAGAAACTGAGGGTAAGATTCAAACCGTGCGACTGCAATCGACGTTTAACAAGCACAGCATTGAGTCTTTAAGTCATTATTCTACACGGCATGATGGAATGAGCAATATTTCTAAATTTGGAGGCTTAATTAATTGCCAGGGTTTTTGTTTTGTTCCAAAGAAGAAACTTGCGTCGATTTCCTTCTCAAATTGAACTGTGTCTTGATTATTTTCGACATTAGTTTGCGTGAGCGCCGAAGAGTTCTTGCTTCTATGATCTGTATTACTTTAGTTATCAAAATATTTTTCAACAGCATCAACCATTTAGAGTTAATTACCCCCGACAAGAAAGTGAAATGTCTTTTTATGGATTGAACGAAGCCAGAATGATAAAACCGAACTAGGATGGAAAGAGTTTATGAATTCAGTAAGAGTTGTAGAGAAGATATTTCTCGTATGTTTGCTAAAGAAAGCAGTCTGTATTCCTGCTAGTTAAAAGATCAGTGAATTAATTTAACTCTCAGGGTATTGGACGTATGCAGCTGTGCATTTTTCAGTTTTTAAATAATTAAGTTGAGATCATCAAAACGGAAAAATCACAACTAGACGGCATTTCTTTCATGGGAAGCATGCGTTGGATTCCGCATTTTTCAGAGACGTCAGACAGTCTTCCAATATTCTTGGAAAGAATAAAGAAAATATCGAAATTCAAAATTATGCTGTAATGAGTTCATATTTAAAAGTCTTGCTTCCCACCCGAAACCGAAAGAGATATTAAGCACTCATTCAAAACATTTGAAAAGGTTCTCATACAAAACTTGACCAATATTTTTTACTTCCTCTACAATTGTCCTTTTATGGTACCGCTGTAATCTTACCTCTTTCGAATTGGTTCTTAACCCTCATGATGAAGGTGTTTACAGCTTTCATTTTTTTACGTTAGATCAGTACTGAAAGTGACTTCGTTTCTGGAAGGCGCTCACGGAATCTCATAATGTGTATATCAGGGAGACATGTCATGGAGAAAAGCCAGCGGCTGACCGCTGCTGTCATTTGTGTCATTATCCTGACAATCATGAGAGTCTTTTTCACGATATTATTCTTCATTTCCAGTGTCATTTGTATTATACATGCAGAGAGCCGCGTTGAACGGTGCGATGGTCATCTTACCCTCTCTCAAAAAACAGTTGACAGTCTCAACACAACTAGCACCTTTGTGGAGACTGCTGTGTCATCATTTCTCATTTTTCTCATCTTTCGATGGAAGCCGTTTAACTTCAGGAACTTTCTCAAGGCTCTTCCAAGACAAGGACACTTTTGGATGTGGACTGCTCTGTGGATTGCGCGAATTTTCACAAACGTTCTAATAGGAATTATCCCAGGCATTCAGGAGAGCTACTCGGTTCTCATCGTCCTTGGTTTTTCGTTGCCATTAGAATTCGCTTTGACAACAGTTTTCGCTTGTGCGCTGGCATTTGTAGGTTTTGACAATGTAAAAGCTTGGCTGTATCAACACTTTCCCACTAAAGCCGCACGCAAGTTGACATACTTGTACAGAACAATTTTGTTTACATATGGCCTTCGAATGCTTGCTTTGTTCCTGTACGACTCGTTTCTGGTAGCAAGGCATATCACCCGCCAAAGTGAGTACCGGGAGCTTGACAGCATTCTTTTAGCTTTGGATGTATTCTATAGAGGGAGTTTGTGCGTCTTCTTCTTCCAGAAGTTTTTTGAGTTCCCCATACCGGATGTCTTACAAAAACCTTTCGAAATTAAGAGGCCTGAGGAAACGGATGAGCAGTTTAGCAAATGTAATGAAAGTCTTCGCTCGGGATCCCCGGAAAAATTGGAGGACCGAGAGCTGGAAGAAAAAGAAAATGACTGTGTGTTTGGTGGATCAGATGTACTCTCGCGGAAAAAAGATAAAGAGGTAGAGCATATGGAGTGAGAAAACAGCTCCACAACTGTTATTGTTCGATCGAATTTAACTGAGAAGCCATGAAATAGATTTAAGCTCTTAAAAAGTGGATTTTACAAGTAGAACTGAAGAAATGCAATTTTATCACATTTCATTTGATGTGCATAAGAAAGAGCTATGCCTGACTAATGTATCTGAGTTTCAATAGGCTCGCTTACGTTTCCATAATGGACGCTTCCTTGGTATTAAGGAAATCTTTCTCTCTTTTTTGATCTTAGGGTGGCTTCCCTTTGTTCTGTTTTCCTCTTGAGATCACAAATTTTTTTTGATAGCGGTTAAAACTATTTTGGGCTCAGCCGGTTGCATTATATTATTTTCCTCCGAATGCAAGACTTGGTGCTGCGTGAAAGAAAATGTAAGAAGTGACCGCCATCATGCAGAATTTTTACGAAAATAAATGGAAAAGTTCGTAGATATCTGCAAAAGGCAACAAAAGTAGAGAGAAGGAAAAACTGAGATTATACATTCTCAAACTTTTTTTGATCACGGGTATTCTCTTGATTTACCATGTTCTTTCGAGGTTTACTGAAAAAGAAATATAATACGCTTTTGAACGCCATGAGTTACTGGCTTCTGTGTATCCTGTGAGTAGGCTATACACAACCCCTCGCAGACCTCTCGCACGCTCGCACGCTGGTATTGCTCCCCGCCTCCAAACTAGCAATCTTT